GTGATTGCATCGGGCTCGGCTGGGTAGTCCGGGATACCCTCCCAAGGTGTATGTCCTTACTCCCGCCTGAGAAGCCCCTTTGCTCTGTGAGCCGACTCCCTCACAGGTTCTGGGATTAGGATGCGACACCTTTGGGGACCATTGTTCTGCCACCCACACCACCTGAATGACAAGGAGTCCTCTGTTTACTGAGAAGTTCTCACAGATCTGTAAGAAAAAGGTGACCACCACCTTAGGACAGCATATAAAAGGTCTGATCAGGCAGCCGCACAAATGAACCTGATAACCAGCATCGAGACCACATTTGTGCCATCAGTTTAGCAATGGTTTGCAGTCTGTCCACATTGCTGCTGGGAATGTGAATGTACCACCTTGGGCCGTGTGTACCAGTGCCTTATACGTGGATCCTTTATGTCCTGGCATTCTGTTTCTGAGAGATGTATCCTCAAGGAGTTACTATATTTGTCTGCAAGTATTTGTCCCCAGTGGTGTTGATTGCTATTTTTGTAATCAGTTTTAAACAAGTTAAACGTCTCACTGTCAACATTGGTTAAACAGATTATGGTGTAGCCATATGGTGGGATGGGTGAAATGGGAGGTGGTACTGTCCAGGGAGATGGTGCAGGCAGTGAAGAGTTAACTCGTGCTCATTCTGTGACGATTTTTAAAACTTTTTAAAGTTCAGAAATAATTACAGATTTACAAGGACTTGGACAGAACTGTACAGGTAAGTCCCATGTACTCTTGTCATTATGCTTCTAGATTTACATATGCTGCATATATTTTTTGTATATATTAAATAGTATATATAGAGTAAATGCATTTAAGTAAATTGAAGAAAAATAGTGATGAAAAAAAGAAAAATAGTGATGATATGCAGAAACAGTCATGATACCTTGCTGAGTAAAATAAGGTAGGATTTCCTTCTATTTGTAAACACTGAAACCTTCATCTGTATACCGAACACCTTTGTCTGTCTCCCCCACACACCCAGCGAGGTACTGCCTCCTGGTGTCGCGGTGGCTGCCTTTTCCTTGTGGAGTGTGCCGGCTAGGACGCCTTTCTGCTCGCGCTCGAACAGTGGGGTCTGTGTACTTTATGGAAGTGGGAGTCTGAGGAGGTGCCCACGGCTGGCCTGGCAGCTCTGCAGAGCTGTCGGAGAGCCACACCCTTCCCATCGTTCCGCCCTGCAGTCTGCCGCGGGGACTTCGTTTCTCGGGTCAGGGTGGCTGAAGAACCTCGGCCTCATGTCCACGCTGCAGGCGGGAAGAAGAGGGACAGCCGGGGGCCGGCAGTGTGCTGGCTGACCACGTCCCCTGTCAGAGGGGGAGGAGCCCCTGTGCGTTTGTGTCCAGCTGGCACTGGCTCACGTGGCCTCCCGGCTGGAAATCCCGAGGGGCAAGGGGTGTGGGTGGGATGGCTCAGCTCTCCAGCACGATCGTCTGCCGCCTGGATTATTTAGTTTCCATTTCTTCTCCATGTTTACTCTGGTGAGCATAACACTTTTTATAAAACCATTCAGTCTTTTACAAAATTATATTTACCTTCTATTTATAATTCTTCATTCCATCTTTGGACAAAATGGTGGCAGCTGAGAATTTCCAGAGGGGCATTGCCTTGTCAGTTTGGCCTCTGACACGAGGCTGGGGGTCTTGGGTGCTGTGCAGCCCTGGCCCCTGTGGTGCTCAGGCCGCCTCTCTGTGGCCCGTGGGCCTGCTTGGTGCACTCAGCCTTCCTGGAGACCACCGGAGAGTTGCTTCCCTTAGGTGCGGGGGTTTCTGGGAGCTGGTCTTTATCCTGGGTCAGCTGTGGGCTCAGGGGAGGGTTGACAAGGAGCTTATTTGTTCTCTCTCTGTTTTTGAACAGCATCCAGCATGTGTATGGAGCCCAGCACCCACCCTTTGACCCCCTGTTACACGGCACGTAAGTGAGACCCCTCCTCATGCACTGTCTTGGCCGTGGCAGCCCTCCAGCTCCCTGGGATTCCTGAGGGACAGGAAAGTGGTCTTTCACTCAGCAGATGCCTACCCAGCAATTGCTTGTGAGAGGCACTGCTGGCCTTGATTAGCTCATCCTCCTGTGGAAGCCAGATGTGGAAGCCACGGCTTGAAGCAGGGGAGCTTGTGCGGAGAGCACGGGGCTGGTACCCCCTAGCTGGTGGGCAGGACCTGGCCCCGGGCTGGAAATGGTGGCAAATTTACCTCCTCTGCTCTGTGTCTGGGCTTCTGCACCAGCGGCAAGCTGGGGGAAGGTGTGCGCTGCAGGACAGCACCTACCTGTTGGCTAGGTCACTGGACACACTTTGGGGCTAGTGTTACACACATGGTCACGTGGGAGCGTCTCACTGAAACTGTGCTGAATCCAAGTCTGCACAGAGGGCCTGTTCTATGACCAGTCCCCCCGCCACACACCTCCACTGCTGCCTGCTACCCCCAGGGCTGGGGTGAGAGGACGTGTTTGCAGGCGTGGCCAAAATGAGGGTTGGGATCAGGCCTGAGTACTGTTCTGGGCAGCGCTGTGCTGCCCCACAGACTGGCCCTGTCGGAGGGCAGACCGACCAGGGTGGCTCTCCCTCAGAATGCTGTCCTTCCCCGCCACTGAATCCTCATGGGCTTTGCCCAGTGTCCCTTTGGGTGACTTTGCTTTGTCACCTCACTCAGCCCCATTGGAGTGGAAGGAGTATGTGTGTATCTTTTCATATGGGGGTTCCTTTTTGCTTGATTTTGGGGTGAACACCCTGAAACCTTTGAGGGACAAGTCAGCCTTCCTTTGCTTTACAGCTGGCTCAAGGCCACACCCAAGGTGCCGACCACTCCGGTGAAGGCCAAGAAGGTCAGCACCTTCCAGGAGTTTGAGAGCAACACCAGCGATGCCTGGGATGCTGGCGAGGATGACGACGAGCTCCTGGCCATGGCGGCGGAGAGCCTGAACACGGAGGTGGTCATGGAGACGGCCAACCGTGTGCTGCGCGACCACAGCCAGCGGCAGGAGCAGCACATGCAGGAGGCTCTGGGACCTGAGCAGAAGCCCAAGCCTGCGGCAGAGCCTCCTCCGGTCCCAGGCAGTGACCTCCGGCTGGTGAAGTCTGTCAGTGAGAGCCACACGTCCCGTCCCGCAGGTGGGCTGCTGCGCTGGGGGACACGTACCTTTCTGCTGAAAGCACGGGCGGGGTCCTTTCACTGCGGAAGGTGGCGGGGCCCCACTCCCGTTTGCAGCGGGAGCCCTGCCCTTGAGAGCCCTGAAGGTTGCCTCAGGCGGCGGGGCGTTCGCCTCCCTGTCCTCTGGTGGCAGCACACGGCTGCCTTGTCCGCCTGCACTGGTGTGACGTGTGGCTGTTGGGCTGGTCGTGAGAGGGCCACGAGAGCACAGGGCCCGGGCAGCCTGTCCCCTTCCTCAGCATCCCCTGGCTGCTCCGGGGGTGACGTTTTCAGCTGAGGGCCAGGCCAGCTGCACATTCAGAGGCTGAACGTCTTTTGGCAGCTTCCAGTGAGTCCCTCCAGGGACACCTACAGGTGGGCTGAGAGTCTGTTGGGGGTGGAGTGTGATTTTTGGAATTGGCATGTCCAGATTATAAATTCCTAAAGGGAGGGAGCATGTCTGTGTCCTGTGTCCATGTGCCTGGCACTCGGTGGTTGCTCTTGAGATGGCAAGTGCCACCACTGAAAGTAGAAGTGGGAAGTGGTTACCCGAGCAAGCTGGATGGGGTGTGGTCTTAAACTGGGACCAGGGCAGCCTCTTTGAGAAGGCTACATGAGCGGCAGTGAGGTGCAGGCGTGAGGTGTGGGGGCTTGGGCAGAGGGGCCAGCCCTGGCCACACACTCTCCCTAAGGTCTCCCAGGTGTTAGGGTGTTTACCCCTCATTTACAGATGAGAAAACAAGGTTGTCATTGTAGTTACCCCTCTGTGGATGCAGCACTAGCTTTCGGACCTGGGTCTAGTTTTCAAAAACACTTTCTAGGAATTGATTAACTTTTGAAATGTTGCAGGTCTCCCTAGGTAAGAATGCTGTGAGTTATTTCATTTGATCAGTGTTCAGACTAGAATCTAAAGTAGAGTGAATTTTACAGTATTTGAGCTATATTAAATTGAGTTCCATTAAAAAAGGAACTTCAGTTGGGGCTTCCCCAGAAGGACTAAGTTCCCTGTGGCTGAAGTGTACGCTGACTGCCTCCTTCGTGTCCAGCCTGGGCCCTGCACCCTCAGCCTTAACCATTGGCATGGTTGGGTCTTACCATGTGTGGGTCTTAACCATTGGCAGGGGCCCAGATTCCTTAGGCTCTTTGGTTGTGCTGATGTGGAAACTGTGAGCCCTGGAGGCAGCTTCTTGGTTCCTTAGGGGCCTGGGAAGAGCCTCTCTAACGCCTGCCACCTGAGCAATTGCTGGTGGTCCTCACCACCCCCCAGATGCAGCTTGTTTTGGCCAAAGCTAGTCAGAATCTCCTTAGTTGCTTGGGGCTGCGATTGCAAAAATGCCACAGACAAGGTGGTGTATAGACAACGGGAAGTTATGTCTTCCAGGTCTGGAGGCTGGGAGTATGAGCTCAGGCCACCGGCTTCTTGCGAGGGCTGTCTTCTGGGTGGTAGGCGGCTCCTCCTTTCAGTGTCCCCACCTGGGAGAGACCAGGAGGGGAAGTAAGCTGCCTCGTGGCTCTTACAAGGGCACCCGTCCCACCATAGGGCCCCACCCTCACGATGGCATCTAAATCCCATTGTCTCCCAAAGGCCCGTCTGCTGGCACCATGACAGTGGAGGGCAGTGCGTCAGTAAATGAATTCTGGGGGGTAGTGTTCAGTTCATGACACACGTGTGTGGTTGGCGGATCCTGACCGGAGGCAGACTTGGGCTCCATCCCTCCAGGGTGGGCTGCCTGGGGATGTCCCCGTGTGGTGGCCTCCTGTAAGGGTCCAGGGGAGGACGCTCCTGCCCGTGACCGCACTGCCTTCCACCTGCACTCACTGGGAGTTTGCTCTCTGGGCAGGCCTTTCGTGGGCACTTGCATGTAGTGATAGTATCTGGCATTTGCTGCCTGTTTGCTGTGTGGCCGGGCCCGGGTTACAGTCCTGTGTGAAGATGACCTCAGTGAGCTTTGCGGCAAGCCCAGGAGATCGTTCACAGGCGAGCTGCAGAGAAGCAGCCTCACTTGGCAGGGCTGTGTAGGCAGGGCTGTGGTTCAAAGCCAGGCTGCTGGCCGGTCCAGAGCCGTGCTGTGAGCTGCGGGCCTCGCCACGTAGAGCAGGGCTTCTCTGCTGACTGGCTCTGCCCCTGGGGCACACGTGGTAATGCCTGGGGACAGTTTTGGGTGTCACAGTGGGGGCACTGGTGTGGGTGGGTGGACCCCAGGGATGCCACTCACTGCTTTGGGGCCCAGAGGGCCTGCCCCGCCCCTGCACTGCCCTCTGTGCTGAGGGACAGGCCCTGCTCTGGAGCCCAGGTGGGCCTGCTTGGGGGGCTGATCCCGGTGGCAGGTGGCAGCGGCAGGAGCTGTGAGCAGGCAGAACCCGTGGGGGCGTTTTCAGTCCCCTTGGTGGCCTGTGAGTCCTCGGGGCAGTTTGCTCAGAGTGCGTGTGCAGGTGGACCCATGGCAGCCCCCATTCTCAGGCCCAGTCCTGGCCGGGTGGGCTCCCATTACGTGTGTGGGCTAGTCTAGGGGAGGCACGGGGGACAGGGGCTTTCATCTCTGTGGGATAGATGGAGCCTGGGAGTGGAGCCCAGGGCCAGGCCAGAGGCATCCCGGGGTTGGGGTCCTCGTTCTGTCCTGCGGGAGGACCAGGGGTATGTCAGCGAAGGCTTCAGAGATGTGATGTCTGTCAGGTCTCCGGAGGGCGAGGGCTCCTGGGTCGGTAGGTGAGGGAGGTGCCGGGTCGGCTGCCCTGGTTAGCTTTCCCTGAGGTGGGGTTGTGCCGCCTGCACGCCTCCTCTCCATGGTTTGCAGGTTCCCGAGGGCAGGAACCATGCCCCAGGTTTTCTGTGTCCTGTGTAGCTACATAAATGCTGCTGCAGTGAACCGAGTCATCCTCAGGGCCTGTTGAGCACGTGCCCCTGGGCACCACCCTTGTCCCTGAGTGGGGGTGGGTGGGGCCTCTGCTAAGGTGAGGGAGCCGTGAGGGCCATTTACTCGGTTGCTGGTAGGACAGTGTTTTGTACTAAGGCCAGTACGTTCCGTCTCACCGTGGGCAGCTCAGCTGGAGCTCTGCTTCTCCCGCCATGGCACAGGGGTTGGATGCCTGTCCCCACATGGTGCCACTGCCGTGGGGAGCAGGTGTCACCTGCAGACAGTGAAACCCAGCACCTTCAGTGCTGCAACCGCACGTGGGACTGTCCCTCCTGCTGGACGTTCCTCCTGCAGAATCATGAAATGCTGTGGAGCTAAGAGGCTCTGATGGAGGGAGGAGGCCTGAGTGTCACCACCACTGCCCCTCGCCATTCCGGCCTCTTCTCCCCCATCCTTCCCTGAGCGCAGGCTGCCGGGTTGCCTCCTGCAGGCGAGGGGCCAGCTCTGGGGGGACAGTGTTCTGACTCCGTGCCCACGTTTGCAGGCCTTTCTGGAAGCTTACCTGGGCCAGGCTATGCCCAGAGGCCGTGGGTCGCCAGGCTCCTCAGTAGCCTGAGGGCCTGTGTGAAGCCTCTGCGCGTTCATATTTTCAGGGTGATGAGTGTGCTCTGCGGAAAGGAGGTGCCCAGCGGGAAGTCTGGTGGCGGCTGCCAGAAGTGGGCAGCGGCTTGTTCCCTCCATGGTGTTTGTTTCTTGCCCATTTCCTGGGGTTTATTTTTTACTCTACTTTAAATTTCAGTTTCAGAAGATATGGCCGCTTGATGGCATTGAGACCCAGGGGTTTATGGCCTTTCGGTGCCTCTTGTGTGTGGGTCCCGTGTGGGTCCCTGGAGGCTCTTTGTGGAGGGACCGAGGACTTGGGCTCTGTCTCGCGGCGTTGTTGGGCTGCTGGATGTAACTTGCTGTCCCACCCCGCCCTGTGGGTCCCTGTTGAGGGGTCCGGGGGCCTTTGTGTGCAGGAGTAGATGGCACCAGGGTGAGAGCTGGGCAAGTATGCAGTCCCGTGCCCCATCCTCCCTGCCCATGGTAGGATCTTGCCTCTGGGTGTCACTGGGTGAGGGTCCCCAGCCGACCTCCCAGGGACTCAAACAGTCTTCAGTGCTTCCATGGGCTTCATCCACCTTAGTGTGTGACTCGGTGGCTTCCCTCCACGCTCAGGCCTAGGTGGCCCATGCAGGCACCCTCCTCCCTGCCAAGTCCAACAGATCCTGGCCTTGTCACTGGGCAGCCTGGCTGGGAGTGCCTCTGGTCGCTGGCATGCCTGCAGTGGTTTGGAGTTTTCTGGTTGTCCTTATCTTGATTTTGTTCATGTGTGTCTGTTTTACTGACCAGTAATACTCTGCCAGTGAGACAGGTGACCCTCACAGGCATCGGCTGGTTTCCTTTTGTTGCTCAAGAGACCCGGGTCTGTGCTGCTCAGCAGTGGGAGGGAGGGGCAGTAGCATTCCCAGAGGGAAGGCGGTCCAGCAGGTGGAGGCCCTCTTGCCAAGTACGCAGTCGGGAAGCCCAGGAGGCCACCCTCACCCACCCTTTGTTCTCTCCCTCTGCAGAAAGTGCCAGCAACACAGCCCCTCTGCAGAGGTCCCAGTCTCTCCCACACTCAGTGACTGTGACACTGGGTGGGGTGTCCGACCCAGGCACCCCCAGCAGCTCAGCGTTGAGTGAAAGAGAGGCCTCCCGACTCGACAAATTCCAGCAGCTCCTTGCCGGCCCTCACACAGACCTGGGTAAGTGCCCGCCGGCCGAGGACACATACACCGCCCAGTTCGGGCTCTTTAGTGCACATGCCCGCGTGATGGGAGGGCCGTCCGTTTGGGCGGTTGTGCGGGTAAGTCACCACGATGAGAGGCATTTGCCCTGAAAGTGTGCTTAGTCGTGGTTTACTAATATGCGGTTTGATGGGGCATTTTCTCTGGTTTTTGTCAACGCCTCGGCTGCCCTTTCTGGCTTCTCAGAGCTGCCCTTGGGTTGCCCTGTGAGGCCAGCCAGGGGGATGTCCTTGCTCTTCAAAGTGTTCATGGGGGGTAGGGCTGGTGGCGATGTCCTGACCAGGGCTGGCTTTGCACCCTCTTGCCAGGGGCTGGGGAGTCAGCGTGGAATGCAACAGGCTGAGTGCTGCTGTGGGGCCGAGGCAGGGCTTGGGTGGCTGGGTCCTCGTGTACGGCCCCTGTGGGTCAGGATGCCCGTGTGCGTGCTCTGCAACCAGGCTTGAGGCATGTGTTTGCTTCCAAGTTGTTGGCTGGGCTCAGCGTGGAGCTCCGTTTTACATTCACCTTTGTTGAGTGCCGCTGTGCGGGGCATTTACTCAGCGCTGGAGCTTTCAGGGGAACTGGATGTGGCTGGTCTCGTGAGACCGTGGCTGGGCGCAGGTGCCAGGGTGGTGCTCTGAGAGCTGGGGCACCCAGGCGGGCAGTGCACCGCTCGGCCAGCAGGTGGCGCGTGGGGCATGTGGACGGGCTGTCTGGAGGCTCCGGCCGAGCCTGGCAGAGGCTGCAGCCAGGGCTGAGGCCTGGAGGGCGTCTTCAGGGAGGTCCTGCGGCTGGTTCGAGATACTGCTGCCATTACGGGCACAGGTCTCATGGCAGAACTTTTCTTCTTAGCTTTGTTGATGTTTTTGCTCATGCGTGTTACATAGTCGCATAGCACAAGAGGACACCGGTGAGGTGAGTCCCTTTCCCTTTCTCTACCTCCACGTTTTCTCTCTTTGTGCAAGTCTAGGGTTGTCTTCCAGAGATGGCCGGGCACATAATCTGAACTTGGTATTTAGACGTAGTTTAAATTCACAGAGAGGCTGCAAGAGTGGTTCAGTGCCTCCCGTGCATTTTGCCCTCGTTTGCCCGCTGTCCCTGTTTGGCCCGTTTTCGTTCCCCCCCCCAGCGTGGCTTGTGTGCGTGCGTGCTCTTCCGGAAGCACTTGAGTCAGCGGACAGCTGGTCCCTTTACTCCTAAGAGCTTCTTGTGTGTTTCTCACAGAGACATCCTTGCCTTGTGACCACAGTGCTGTCAGGGTCAGGAAATTGGACAGCTGCCCGCGTCTGTGGTCTGCTGACTGCCCTCGCAGGGTCCTGTGCACCTTTCCCTGGTCCAGGTCTGTCCCGGTCACGCGTGTGCCCCGACGTCGCATCCCCTGTCTCCGTCTCCGTCTCTCTGGAGTGGTGCCCAGCCTGGCACTGTGCTCCTGGATCTGCAAGTCATTGAAGACAGGGGCTGGCTGTTCCTGTAGTGCCCCTGGTGCCAGTTGTCTCATGCCCTTCCTGAGGAGGTCCGGGTCAGTCATTTTTGGCAGGAATGTTACTGATGAGATGTGTGTTCTCGTTCGCGATAGCAGGAGGCCAGGGTGCTGGTGAGTCTCGCTGTGGGTGAGTGCGGCTCTGATCGCTTGGTCTCGATGCTGTCAGTTCTTCCACTGAGAGATTCTCTCTTCCCTTTGGAGATTCAGGAGTGACCCTGGAGAGAGATAGTTTGGGGTCTGCATTTATGGAACACTTTGTAGTTCCTTCTCCTTACAAATGGTCACGCTGTTCTGCCCCTCACTCTGTACAGATAACCGTGCATTTCCCTGACAGTCCTGGAGAACCACGTGGTCTGGTGCCGTGTACTTGCCAGGCTGTGGTGTCTTGTCATTTACCTCCCTCCTGGCAGTACTTAGATTGTTACTAAGTTCCTGTTACTGTTCTGGTGTTCAGACATCCCACCCTCCCCCTGTGCTAGTGACATTCACACAGGACCCCTAGTTGTGGGTGGGAGGGGAGAGCTTGAGAACTGTGGGGGTGGGAGCCCACCCACCAAGCTAGCAGTCAGGGTGGGTTGTGCATGAAGGATAGTCTTGGGGTTTTAGTAGGCAGCTGCACCACTTGGCTGTGTCGGGAGGCCAAGTCACATGGTGGTGGTTCTGGAGACCTGGCTGCCCGCATGGGGTGCTGGCTACACTGCCTCCTGGCCATGCGACCCAGAGCAGGCCTGGCAGCTCTCGTGTGCCTCGTGTCCTTGCTCACCTCTGGGCCTGATGGCGGCGGTACTAACTCGGATCCAGTGGGATAACACCCAGGATGCTCAGGAGGGTGCCCAGCCCAGGATGGACACTGGAGAGTTATAGTTGTTACCATTATTTTCATTCGCATTGGTCTATTTATCCTCTAACTTGATTTTTTTAGCGTAGACATAAATGGTCACTTTTGTGATCTCTGACGCAGTCAGGGAAATTTACAGATATTTTCTTATTTGTGTTCAGTGGTTTCTAACAGTCAGTGGCAAGGAAATTGCAGATGTAAACAAGGCTGCCCAACAGGAAGCATGGTTCTGGAGGGCCTGCACCCCTAGTCAGGGTCTGGTCTGCTGGGTGTTGTCATTGGAGTAACTTGGAAAATAAAATCACACTTAAAAGCAAAGCTTTTAAGACTTATAGGAAAAAGTGAGTATGTGTGGATAGACTGAAAGGTTAATGTGTAAAAATAAAATCCTTTTGTTAGGTTGGTGGGACTATGGTTTTTTCTTTCTTCAGAATTCTGTTTAAATATCGCATCTAACACTGAAGGGCTAAAACCAAAGCTTTTCAAAGTTAAACGATTACTGGATTTGTATTTAGTGGCAAAACACAGCCATTAAATTACCTGTTCTTATAAGGCATTTAAGAGCGCTTTGGAAGGCGATCGGATGTATTACCTTCCTGTTATGTAAGAGATGTGAGTGGCAAATATTTGCCGATGCTGGAGCAGCAAGTCACTGGCGTGCAAGGGGCCCGTGGAAGCAGTTCTGCCTGCCGAGCGCCGTCCCACTTGGAGGAGAGCTGTTTTTCTTTGTTTAGCTTGTGCTTGGTTATGAGCCTGGGGATGAAAGTAGCAAATAGAATTTAACAGCTCATTCTGCGCGGTCACTGACTCGGTATTTACTTGCACATAGGCCGTCTGCCTTGCAGCCCAAGAAATGACACCTGGAGGCACTCGTTCTGTCCTGTGTACCTGTGGAGAGGGTGCCATTCGGCAGGATGCGCAACGTGGGGCCTGAGGCCTGAGGGCTGACCGCCTCGAGCCGTGGGGCCTTGAGGTCGCGTGGGTGTGGCTGCTTCCTGGCACTGCGGGCATTCTGAAGCAGCTGCAGGTGCCAGGCCAGGTGCATGGGCATGTGCCAGGGCTCCAGGCAAGCACTCGGTCAGACTTAGGATGCAGTGTGTTCTGGAGGATGGCTGTAGGGCAGAGAGGTGGGTCTGTGGGACTGAGTGAAATGCCCCCTCAGGGTCTGGGGCTGGAGGACAGGGCAGCGGGGCCACAGAGGCAGGCAGGGGCAGTGCAGCCGGTGGTCGTGCCCTGACTGTGTGCCACCTGCTCCCACCACCTGCCTCCTGAGCTGGGTCAGGGAGCCCACCCTGCAGGGTCCTTGTGCTGAGGAGGTGATTCACGTTCAGTGCCACAGTTCACTTGTTAGCCGTGTTCACTGAGCACTTGTGGCCAGTGCAGGGCCTGGGGGGAAGCGGAGCCAGACCCCCAGGGTCCCCGCATCCAGGGAGCTGGCCTCCGGTGGGAAGACAGACATGCACAGAGTCCGTACTCCCGAAACTAGCAGGTGGCGGTCGGCATATATGGAGAGGTAGACATTGCTGAGGGATGAGGGCTGGCTGTTGGACACCTGTAAGGTGAGCCCGGCACCAAGGTGGGCATGTGAGGAGGGGAGGGCATCCTGGGGAGGGGCCCTCCATGTGCAGGGTTCTGCTTGAGGAATGGAAGGTAGTTGTAGAGGCAGGGGCCTTTGGGGGGCAGCAAGCCAGGAAGGGACAGATCCTGGGCTTGGAAGGCTGGGGGAAGGGCCTCAGCTTCTACCTGGCGTGTAGCAAGGAGCCTCTGGCGGGCTCTGAACCAGGGGAGTGAAGCTGGGCATGAGCATCGGAAAGTGGTTGCTGTTCTGTGGAAGGAAGAGCCCCTGAATTCTTCCTGTGGCCATTGTCACCTGTGGCCTTGGGCTGAGGCCGTTCTTGGGTGGCCACTTGGGGGTGCTTCTGTGGGGACACAGGAGGGACAGGGAAGAACACAGGGCAGTAGATGGGGGCAGGAGCCAAGGGTCTGGGCTGGGTGGCCAATTCCTCAGGCGCACAGGGCAGGCGGGCTGAACCTGGCCTGGTGGGACTTGAAGCGGGGTGTGCTGGAGGGCAGCAAAAGCCAAGACTGTCACTGTTGGAGCCCAGGGGCTGTGGGGATACGGGGCAGCTGATGGACACAGAAGCCAGAACACACCCCAGAAGTCTGTCATTTCCCTGGGGAGACAAAAGCAGGTGTTTGAGTCAGGGACAGCAGTGTGTCCACGGGACCCACAGTTGCTATCACTCTGCTTTATATGCACATTTATATATACAGACAGTCCCCAGCTTAGGCTCATTAAACTTAGGATTTTTCAACTTCACGATGGTGTGAAAGCGACGTGCATTCAGTAGAGGCCATACTTTGAATTTTGAATCTGGCTCTCTTCCTGGGGTAGGGCCACACGGTCCGATCCTCACTCTGGCGCGAGGCAGAGCCGGTCAGCCACACGATCACGAGGGTCAGCGATGGAGCCACTGACGGCCACCTGTACCCTGCAGCCATGCTGTTGTTCACTTCAGAACCGTATTCCACACATCACATGAGACTCAGCCCTGTATCGTACGTAGGCTTTGGGTGACGGGTTCTGCCGGCTGCAGGCTACGGTGAGTGTCTGTGTGCAGGTGAGGCTCAGCTCTGATGCAGATGGGCTGGACGTGT